TGTTTGGTTTCCATCTTCTATACTTCAGCATCTCTCTCCTTTCATCGCCTATTGCATGTCTACTATGAATTCATGAAGTTTTTTCTTTTTCTGTTTCTACAAGCGGACCCGATCAATCACTGGATGAAAATGAGAGATTTAACCTTGTATAATTATTACGCTAACAATATGCATAGTAACGAAAGAAATAATAACTTTGCTTCATCAGGTATGTTTTGACAGCAAGGCATCCATTCTTTTAATTGAAGTTTTTATTTGAAATAATAAAATACATGTAGGTTTGTGTGTGACAGTAGACATGAGCTGTTATTGATGTTAGTACCATAAGCCTGTGTTTTCTTCTACACATTTAGTGTTCGTATTTGATGATTTTCTAAAATACAACAAAGGAAAAACAAAAACCATAGAATACGATACACTATCAATTTATTGATGTTGTAGTAGTTCCTTTGACTGAAGGGAGAATCATGAAATAAAATGCGTTTGTATGTATGTGTGTTTATATGTTTGCAGGCACGTGTACAATCACGTGTTCATGTATATAAAATGATGTTGTATAAAATTTGACCAAAGCTAATGGGAATCGGCGAATTCGAATCCGAAGTCGGTTTTCCCATTCGGTCATTCATTAGTCAGAAAGTGAATCAATCAGAAACGAGCTTTTTTATTTTAAGACTTTTTGGCAGTTTGATGAAGCCTGGCTATAGGTTATCGAGGACCAGGAATCCAAATCTGAAGTCAAGTTTTCGATTCGAGCTTTCATCGGCCAAAACATCGGTCAATCAAAAATGAGTTTCTAATTTTTAGAATTTTTCCAGATATGACATACGATGAAGAAGAGATATGATTTTATTATCATATTGACGAATATGATCATAAGAATTTAATGAAAAAATTTTTAAATTAGGCAAATCATTCTATAATATAAAAAACAGAGGGATGTTTTTCTTACTTTTAATAGAATCTTCCCATTATACAACTGATAATTAGCCCCAGCTTACGAATGACTTTAAGAAATTTCGACTCTGTCAAATTTTCTGAAAGCTTTAGAACCTAATTTTCTTGTTATTTATTAGTACTATTTATTCTTTTGTTTCTAAGATGGTCTCTCTATATGCCTGTTTAGAACCGAAAGAGTTCAGAGAGTAAACTAAAGCAACATTAAAGAAATAAAAAATCTTCCATATTGTGAATGATTGACAAAGTGTTGTTCATAGAATAAATTCGAACGATTAATGTACTCGATTGTTTGAGACGATCATCGAATATATTCATATTGATATATCTATAGGTAAGAACTGAAGAGAAGAAAGTAGTTGATGGTGAATCACAGAGTGACAAACTGCCTGTATACGATGGAAAGAATGTTTCAATAATTAAATGGACTAAACTTTTGAAGAAAGTCAAAAAATATATATATAGACATTTCGAGTATAATTTTTCGATATTACCATTATATTTGTACCGTTATTTACTAGAATAAGAACTGTAATCTGTCGTTTGAAGGTATATTGAAACGATGACTCATCGAAGTAAAAAGCAATTCTGTAGCCGTCATGGTTGATCAAGTGTTTTATGTGTAAAATAACGTCCAGTAATTTTGTGTCTGAAATTAAAAATTTTAAGTTGTACCAGATTTGGATAATTGGTAGCAAGAAGAATTTGTTACATAACTATTGGCTCAAGAATAGAATATTTGAAGTTAATCTCGAAACGTTTCTTAATCTTTTCTTTTCTTCTTTAATATAAATAAAAATGAATTTACTAAATAAATCTCTATATGAGTCGACTGAACAGATTATTCGATAAGTAAAAGGTCAACCAGTTCTTGTAAATTCTACTCAATATCACTTTTTATAAATCAATCTCGATTATTTCATCGAATCAATAAAAATGAATGGAAAAAACAATAAATTAGATATTTATTACAAGTTTAAATAATTAAATTTGTCAATGATCTATTCAAACAAATCTTTTCATTATTGATCAACGATTTAATTGTATTAATTCTAATTTTTAGATTTCTCTATACTTTCTTTTATCGAAAATTCTTTTTTTTTTTAATCATAAGATCGCACTTCAAATTCTTGAAAAAATCTCTCTAAACATCAATGTCGAAATTCTTTTAGATATATTAATAAAAAACGATGAAAAATAAAAATATGAAAATAACAACAAAAAAATCAATTAAAAAACATTAAGAGATCAGCGAAAATCTTCCGTATTTGAGTAGACTAACTTCATTCGAAAAATATTTCTTAACAATTACAAACTATCAACAATTACAACGACATCAAGTCAAATTCCTTTATCGATCGTTAACATTCTTAGAAGGTTACAGTCAATATATCGCTAATCAAATGTTATTTACTTCACACTAATAAACGAATGTCAATAAGAAAATAAATTATTAAATAAGAACTCTAGAATTGACATTGCATTGACATATACGTTATATTATCTTTAACAATAACAAAAAAAACTCATAGTACAATGTTAAACAGTTTACAAGATATTTATTTTTAAGATTCGATAATCACTCTATTTTAATGATTAAAATTATTTGAATTATATTTATTAATCACATTGAATTAATAAATGAATTTCTAATATCATTAATTAAATTGAAATAGGTTCTTAGAAAAATTAAAAGAGAAAACATTTAACATTCGTTAGTTGGTTTAACTATTCGTTTAGATTTAATTGAAACAAAATCAAAAGAATTATATTTATCGATAAAGAAATACTCGATATAAATAATTTAAAAAATTCTTGTTAAATAAAAAGAAATGTTTCGATAAAATAAAAAAGAAAAAACAATTAAATTGATCTTGTACCATCAATTGATAATATTTTGTCCACATAAATAAAATCGGATTTTATCAAAATTGAAATAAAATTCTTTTTTGTTTCGTTAGTTCAATGAATATTTGTCAAAGGTAGAATTATCAAAATAAAAATCTTGTTTCATTATTTGATTGAATTATTTTTCTCATCAATTAAATAATTTATCGAATATCATTCAAATTGGACAAACAAAACCATTCGTTATTATATTAACAATCAATCGTTAGTTACATAATCAATAAACGTTCCTCTTCCTTCTTTATCTATTATGAAAGCTTTTAATAAAAAATTTCAAATGATTGAAAAGGGTGTGGATGTGGCTGTATGTGTGATTATCAGTGAGTGTTGGTATTCTTTTCTGTCACACACTCACACTCACACTCACATCTTAGCTGTTATCAAAGTATCATTGAGATTCAATAATTTATCTAATACGATATATGTCATGGATTTTTCTAGTATATTCATTTCATTTTCAATTAAAAGCCTATCAATAAATTTTCTTGCATTATTTGATTTGCAAGTCAATAATTTACTTAAGAATATTTATTGTACTCAAAAGTAATCATGATTAGAAGTACATAGTCTATTTGTGATAAATGTATTGGAAACATGTATAATTGAGAAACCAATCAATCATTTTCACTCTCTAACAATTGTTTGTCAATATATTGTACTTCTCGATCGTACCTTTTGAGCAATCAATTGTATACAAATTTCCATATGTATCAAAACGAAGTCTTGAAAAGGATACTCCAGAAATAATCATAGTTGGATATGTTGTACCTGGTACCCATCTGTATACAGCATTGTACGTTGTATAATAGATGATGCCGAAATCATCAACAAGCATGTACGATCCCCATGAATACCAAGATGTGGAAAATAGGCTTGTCCCATTTCGACTTCCGGGTGCAAATTTGAGTATTCGACTAAGAAAAGAAGAATAACAAGAGAATAAATCATCAAGAAAAAAAATTATGAAATAAACGCATACTAATTTCCAGAGTCAAGAACAAATAAATTTCCCACTTTATCAACGAATATTGATGACGGATAGGAGAGTTCGTTTAATTGATATCCTGATGTACCATTTGTTGTACCTGCTATGACAATCAGTGTCGATGTGTATGGAATAATTTTGACGACACGATGATTTTGACTATCACTGCAATAGATTCCACCTTGACTATCGACGAAGAGATTGTTACAACCGCAAATTTGATTTGGTGCTGTTCCACAACTTGTTTCGTCAAACAGAGTAACACCTGTAATACCATCAGCATCTGCATATCGTTGAATGCGATAAAGTCTTTGCCATGAAGTATAATTGTACTTGAAATAGAATAACAAGAGTTAATTATTATTTTTCAAGGAAATGGCCCTAGGTAATAAATCAATTTTTCGATTCAGACTATATTCATTAGATAGGACCTGGAAAGCAATGCGTCATACAAGCGTCAGATTGAGTATCTGGACGTTCAATCCTGAGATATTGCGCTGTGAGACAACTTTTTACTGTTCTAATTTTTCAGCAAAACCATATATTCGATTTCAGATCTGAAACTTTGCTCCAATCAACGTCTTGATTACACTAGTGTGAAGAGAAATGTTTAGAAAATTTGGACACTATGCCTTTGAGATAGCAATTTTTCAAAAATTCATTTTCTTTGAGAGAAACTGCAGACTTCAAAAAAATCAGTATCTCGGAAGTACAGTGTCCAAATCTTCTAAAATTTCTATTCAAGCGAATTTTTAGGTCGAAAATCGAACATAATTTTTCCGGAGAAGTAGGATTCTAATGAGAAAGCTGGCTAAAAGAATATAATCTCAATTGAAAAAAAATTATCACTTCGAGCTATTCTGTGATTTTTTCTGGAAAATTTAAGAGAGATGACTAAAAAACATGATCTTCGTTAACTAATCAATCTGAAATAATTCTCTCTAGTTCAGGCAAAGACCAGTGCCAGAACTAGAACCAGAAAATAGAATTTTATCGAGACCCGGCTCAAAAAGAAATATAAGTCAATTAGGATCATTGGACTCGGACTAAAAAATTTGGTCTGACACATCTCTACTGACGATATAGCTACATTAGTTTTGCGATAGAAAAGAAAGGATGTGGGTATGGGTGTGGGGTGTGGGTGTGGGTGTGGGTGTAGATGGGATTTGGGGTGTGCCCATGTAAAAAAAAATTATTAAAAATCAGATTAAAAATCGATTAAAATGAGACGATTTTAATCAGATTTTAATCAGATTTTTCAACCTTAAAAGATAGATTTTATTTGACTTAATCTTTCTTAATCGATTAAAATCTATTAAAAAACTTTAATAATCAATTATAATCGATTTATTTTAATAATCGATTTTGATCGATTAAAAAAAGATTAAGTCAAATAAAATCTATCTTTTAAGGTTGAAAAATCTGATTAAAATCAGATTAAAATCGTCTCATTTTAATCGATTTTTAATCTGATTTTTTTTTTACATGGGTGTGTCTACGGGTGTGGGTAAGGTATGAGGCTTCACTGTATCCACACCCACCCACACCCACACCCGCACCCACAGCCACACCAACATCCACACCCAGCATAGCAATAATACCACTGCTATTCGTCAATTTCTTTTTTTAGCTGTTTTACGACCAGATTCATTATCAATTCATGAAAAAAAATTTTATAAGATTTATGGAAACGATTTACCAACACCACCAGAAATTGTTCAGACATTTAAAGAATTTAAAAACAATCTAATAAATCGATTCTCTTTGGACAAAGTTTTCCAATTCATAGATTTCAACCAATTCATTTTGGCTGGTGGTTCAGTTCTTATATCTCTCTTACGAAATACTACGCAATTTATTACTTCTGATCTTGATTTTTTTTTATATTGGAAAAAGTTTCAAAAATTTCATTGATATATTAGTATAAAATAGTAAATTGTAATTTCATTCATCTGTTTATTTTTTTGTTAGGCTAAGATATATGACAACCTATCTAATTTTTATTTCATCAAACAAAGAGTTTTATCTTATCGACGTGTGTATGAACTAGAAATGGCTCTAGGTTCTACTATATTTGAAATAATAAATGAACCAAATATCCGCAAAAAAATAGTATTACAATTTATTTATCATTCAACTATAACATCTATTCACACATATCTAATGGCATTCGATGTAGATATAATTCAAATTTGTTTTGATGGTGAAAAAGTATTATGTACATGGACGTGTATCCGTGCACTAAATACAGGCACATTTATATCTTATAATCTTACCAATAATTTAGCAACACTCGCTCGAAGTGCAATTCGTATTAGTAAATATTATGAAAAAGGTTTTAAACTATTATATCCTTACGAATTTGCAATAAACGATTTCTTATCTTTAACCGTATATGAATTAAAACATGTACAAAATCCTAATTATTATTCATCAACAAAAGAACAATTTGGAAGTAATCATGATTATTTTCAATTACAAAAAAAAATTTGTCGACACATATATCAGTCAACGATTTTTAAATTTGTTGTAAATTAAATTTTATCAAAAGCATACATCAAATCATAGTAACTTATAATATTTCCAATGATTAGGAATTTTTGTACACATAAGATGTTAACTTGATAGAAACAATCTTTGAATAGTAATAAATTTGAATATGAGGTTCTTTCTGTTACTTATAATATATTTCCCACTTTTTTGCAACCAAAATTTTTACCACTTCATAATTACTACTTCATTTAAATTTGTATTATTTACCTTTTAACACAATATACAGAATGTCCTTTTTTCTGTTCTATGTACACAAAAATTAAATTTTGTTCATTTCACTATTGATTAACAACATACGTTTGCTTTAAAACAGATAACATATTATTACTCACTACAGTTCTTATTTTACATATGATACATTAGTTATTACCAATATAGAAAACTTATCAACGTTAACTATCCATATATGTCAAAGTAACGATTCAAATCAATTCTATTACTTTCTGGATGCATAACACATAATATAAAATGGGGCAAATTTAAACTAATATCTAAAAATATGGCAATCTATGTC